TACACACATTTTGTCTCATGACATTGACTGCTATCTCCCACAATGCAACAGCTCTCTTCCCACTTCCTCCCCGTTGCCACCTCTTCCCTCTTCCATCCAGTGCACACCTGCCCTCAAGCTGTCACCCTGTGCATACACAGCCCTTCTATTCTCTGGTGATTGATCTCTCCAAGGAGTCTATCTACCTAATGTAAATATTCTGCTCATAGCTCTTCAGCACTTTAAAGAGGTCTTTTGGAGCAGATTCGCCCAGTACAATATGACATCTGATTTCCTGACTGCTGCTTCCATTGGTATTGATTGTGTATCCAAGTAATATGAAATCTTTGACAACTTCAATCTTTTCTCCATTTATCATGATGCTGCTTATTGGTAACTTTGTGAACATTTTTCTTTTCTTTATATTGAGGTGTGGATAATCCATACTGCAGACGATAGTCTTTAATCTTCAAGTCGTCTTCACTTTCAGCAAGAATGGTTATGTCATCTGCATATCACAAGTTGTTAATGAACTTTCCTCCAATCCTCATTCCATGTTCTTCTTCATATAGTCCACCTTCTCAGATTATTTGCTCAGAATACAGATTGAGCAAATATAGTGAAAGGATACAACCCTGATGCACACCTTTCCTCATTATAAACCATGCAGTAGTATCCCCTTGTTCTGTGTGAATGACAGCCTCCTGGTATATGTACAGGTTCCTTGTGAGCATAATTAAGTGTTCTGGAATTCTCGTTCTTCTCAGTGTTATCCATAATTTTTTTTGATCCACATAGTTGAATGTTTTTGCATAGTGAACAAGTAAACATCTTTCTGGTATTCTTTGCTTTCAGCCAATATATATGGTATCAGCAACAATATCCCTCCTTCCACATCCTCTTCTGAATCCAGCTTGCATTTCTGGAAGTTTGCTATTAATAAACTGCTGCAACAATTTTTGAATTATCTTCAGCAAAATTTTACTTGCATGTGATATTAGTGCTATTGTTCAATAATTTCCACATTCTGTGGGATCACTTTTCTTTGGAATGGGTACAAATATGCATCTCTTCCAGTCAGTTGGCCAGGTAGCTGTCTTCCAAATTTCTTGGCATAGACAAATAAGTGCCTCCAGCATGGTGGTGTTCACTTGTTGAAACATCTCAGTGGACATTCTATCAATTCCTGGAGACTTGTTTTTCCCCAATTTCTTCAGTGCAGCTTCAACTTCTTCCTTCAATACCATTGGTTCTTGATCATATGCCACCTCCTGAAATGGATGAACATCGTCCAATTCTTTTTGCACAGGGTATTCCTTCCATCTTCTTTTGATGTTTCCTGCATCATTCAATATTTTGCCCATAGATTATTTCAATATTACAATTCAAGGCTTGAATTCTTTCTTCAGTTCTTTCAGCTTGAGAAATGCCAAGTGTGTTCTTCCCTCTTGGTTTTGTAACTCTGGGTCTCTGACCATTTCATTATAATAATTGACCTTGTCTTCTCAAGCTGCCCTTTGAAATCCTCTGTTCAGCTCTTTTGTCTTGTCATTTCTTCTATTTGCTTTAGTTACTCTCCATTCAAGAGCAAGTTTCAGAGCCTTTTCTGACATCCATTTTGGCCTTTTCTTCCTTTCCTGTTTTTTTTAATGACCTTTTGTTTTCTTCATGTATGATGTTCTTGATGTCATCCCAAAATTCTGGTTTTTGGTCTTTGGTGTTCAATGTGTCTAATCTATTCTTCAGATGGTCTCTAAATTGAGGTGGGATATAATCACAGTCATATTTTGGCTCTCATAGACTTGTTTTAATTGTCTTCAGCTTCAACTTGAACTTCCGTATGAGCAACTGATGGTCTGTTCCACAGTCAGCTCCTGGCCTTGTTTTGACTAAAGATATTGAGCTTTTCCATCTCCTTTTTCAACAGATGTAGTCTATGTGATTCTTGTATATTCTGTCTGGCAAGGTCCAGTGTATAGCTGCTGTTTATGATTCTGAAACATGGTATTTGCAATGAATAAGTTGTTGGTCTTGAAAAATTGTATCAATTCTAACTACCAGTGATTCTTCTGTGTTTCCAACTTTTGCAATCAATACATCTTGATTGCATGTTTGGTCAATTTCAGACTGCTGAAGTTGATAAAAATCTTCAATTTCCTCATCTTTGGCTTTAGTGATTGGTATGTAAATTTGATTAATGTAGTATTAACTGGTCTTCCTCATAGGCATATGGACATTTTCCTATCACTAACAGCATTGTGCTTTAGGAATGATCTTGATACGTTCTTTGTGATGACAAATGCCATGCCATTCTTCAATTTGTCATTCCCGGCATAGTAGATCACATGATCATCTGCTTCAAAATGGCCAAAACTAGTCCATTTCAGCTCACTAATACCTAGGATATCAATCTTCATGTGTTGCATTTAATTTTCTTCAACAACCACCAATTTCTTACGTTCATACTTTATACATTCCATGTCTGATTATTAATGGTTGTTTAAGCTATTTCTTGGGAGCTCTGGTAGCATAGTGCCTAAGGCACTTGACTGCTCACCAGAAGGCTGGCAGTTCAAACCCATCAGCCACTCCTCGGAAGGAAGGTTGGGCAATCCTACTTCCGTAGTGATACTGCCTTGGAAACCCAAGGAGGGGTCGCTATGAGTCGGGGCCGACTCGACGGCAAACAACAACAACAACAACAAGCTATTTCTTCCCATTTTGAGTCATGCCCTATCAGTAAAGGGAGGTCCTGAAAGCTTTACTCTACCCACATCATTAAGGTTGACTCTCCTTGGAAGAGACAGGTCTTCCCCAGTTGTATTTTGAGTGCCTTCCAACCTGAGGGGCTCAGCTTCCAGCACTATATCAGACAATGTTTCAGGGCTATTCATGAAGCTTTCCAGTAATATATGAGACAATGTTTCACTGCTATTAATAAGGTTTTCACTGGCCAATTCTTTGAGAAGTGGATGGACCCTTCCTTCTTACGCGTCTGTCTTAGTCTGGAAGTTCTGCTGAAACCTACCCACCATGGGTGACCCTGCTGGTATTTGAAATACTTGTGGCATAGCCTCCAGACTCACAGCAACACACAAGCCACCATAGTATGACAAATTGGCAGAGAAGTGGTATGAATATAGAAGTCCTATATTCACACACATACTTTGGTCATGTTGTCAGAAGGGACCAGTCCCTGGAGAAAGATATCATGCTTGATAAAGTGAAACAAAAAAAGGGAAGGCCCTCAACAAGATGGATTGACACAGTGGCTGCAATGATGGGCTCAGGTATAGAAAGGATCGTGGGGCTGGTACAGGACCAGGCAGTGTTTCTTTCTGCTGTACATAGGGTCACTATGAGTCAGAGATGACTCAATGGCACCTGACAACAACAACAACACACACACACACACACACATATATATATAACCAAAACCAAACCAAACTCGCTGCTGTCGAGTCAGATCCAACTCATAGGGACTCCTCCTTGGGTTTCCGAGGCAGTATCGCTACGGAAGTAGATTGCCCAACCTTCCTTCCAAGGAGTGGCTGATGGGTTTGAACTGACAGCTTTCTATTTAACAGTCAAATGCCTTAGGCACTACACCACAAGAGGTCCTGAAGACTTATAAGGATAGGGAAATGTTTCCGATTTAATGTGAAAGCAGAATATAGAATTTTGCATGCAGTATACAATTGTTTCATTTTAAAATAGACGCATTTCATATGTGAATATTTATATACACAGAAAAAAGATTGAATGAGACATCAAAATACTATGAATATCTCTGGATACGGGGATGACATAATATATTATTGTTTCTTCCTATTTTCTAAGTGACTCCCAGTGCATAAATATTTATTAGTTTATAATCATAAAAATTCTCAAATATTATAGGAATTAAAACACTTCTATTAAAAATTTGTCACTGTTCATGTTTTATAAAAATCATTTCAACTCTATTAGACTGGCTAGGGAATGCAATGATGTTCATCATATTCTTTACACATTTCTACATGTATGAAGAAATTCATAATTTTTTAAAAAATGAATATTGAAAAGTAGTTACATGATTGTAGGGTTTTGTTTTTTATTTTTAAGTAAGATTAGTGAGTAGACTAGAGCAAAGCACTCCCCCTCTGAACTTTGACAAACACTGGGATCATGTTTGCAGCTTTCCTCACGAGCAGCTATCTGGGCTGACTGACTGTATATATAACACTTACTGAATTTTCTGGAGACTCCTACAAGATGAAATCACATCAGAGGATTGGAAGAGACAGTTTCTTCTGGCTCCAAGAAATCTTGTTTTATATTTCTGGGTTGTAAGAGATTATTTTTTGTTAAGAATGAATCTTTACTCTGAATACTTAGAAAATTTCAGTTGCTGAATATTTATTGATCCATCACAATTCTCTTATTTTATAGTAATTTTTCTAAAATTCTTAATTCACTGTATTTGGCTAGAGTTGCAAAAATATATTTTCAGCAAAATCCCCAAACAACAGCAAACTCTCTGAGCTAGTGCTTCAAAGCAATACTTACTGTTCCAGTCTCAGAGGAAATCAAGCCAGAAGCCAGAAGACAACGCGCACACAGAATTTAAGGGAATGGTAGCCTAGTTCTAAGCTTCAGAAGAGGGAGTAAGTAGAATAAAGTCCAATAAGATTCGTTTACTTTATTTTACTTATTTTTAACTCGATTTGTTGTTACACAGCAAGTGATTTACTGCTATTTCAAAGCAGATCAGAACCGACTGGACTTGCACCTAGCCTCAGCTCTACTTCACCTTTGTTCTGACAGCGGCCTGCTCCAGGGAAAACAAACAAACCACACCCCCAAAAGGCCTTTCGGAGCTAGGGCTGGGAGGTCCCGTTGATTGGTTTCCCCGCTGCCCCAACCAACCAATGATTGGCTACGCGTGGAGACGAGGTGGGGCTAAGGCAAATTGCGGGAATTAGAGGGCTTTGGGGTCCAAACTCCAGCTGCAGACTGGGAGACAACCGGGACTGGAGGCTCATGGCTCGGCTGTATGTTTGTGTGCTGGCCCTGGTGGCTGTGCTGCTGCTAGGGATCGCCACCATCTCCAGATCGAAGGGCCTGCGGAGCAAGGAGCCTCAGGGGGAGTTGCGAATTCCTTCTCAGTTCAGCGAAGAGGAGCGCGTGGAGATGAAAGAGGCGCTGAAAGGTGAACCAGGATTCCCTTTGCCTACCTATGCTCACATGCGTGTCCTGTCTCCCTCCGCAGAGGGTCCGCTGCTCAAGTTTGAGCTCTGCAACCCACCCTAGGCCAGCCCCAGCCCAGCCCCAGCCTGATCACAGCGCCTCAAGCCCCGCTTGGGGGACACCAGTCTCCCCTAGATCTGACTCCTGGAGACTCCCGGCTCTCCCTGATTAGCCGTGGAAAGCTGCAATTTCGCCACTCTTGGTATGGTTGTGGCCCACCCTACCCCCTGCTTACTTACCTCCAATATTGCATTTGATTTTCTTTCTACAGCACTTCTGGTCTTTGAAACTTTTCACGTTTTGAGTCTCTGTGGCATTTTAAGACTGGTATTGTTATGTGCTTTCGAGTCGGACTGACTCATAGCGACCCCTCCTTGGGTTTCCGAGCCAGTATCACTACGGAAGTAGATTGCCCAGCCTTCCTTCTGAGGAGTGGCTGGTGAGTTTGAACCGCCAGCCTTCTAGTTAGCAGTCAAGTGCCTTAGGCACTATGCTACCAGAGCTAGATGATCTTAATCTTATCTAAGGGGGATTGTTGTTGTCATAGCGACCACTCCTTGGGTTTCCAAGGCGGTATCACTACGGAAGTAGATTGCCCAACCTTCCTGCCCAGGAGTGGCTGGTGGATTTGAACCGCCAACCTTCTGGTTAGCAGTCAAATGGCTTAGGCACTATGCCACCAGAGCTTCCAAGGGGATTTGAGGGAGGAAAATTGAGTCTTAGATCAGTTAAATGGTCTTCCCCCAAGTCCCCACAGAGAAAAGTGGGCACTGGGTGACAACATCTAGTACCTATAGAACCCACTGGGCTCCACCTGGCTCTAAAGGGGAGAGGGGAGCATGAGGTGATCCTAAGGTGTAGGATGTTCCTAATTTCTTCTCTTAATTGAAGGACATCTCTCCACTAAATCTCTAAACAAGACTAAAAACTCACTCACTTTCTGAATCTTCATTGACCCCGGGGGAAAGAGGAAAGTTTCTGTTGAGTGTTAGAGTCTGTGGGATAATAAGATCCTTCCTAAACACTGGGAGTAGCTCCAGTTTTTTCCCTCTCATTAAATAATGGATTAAGAGAAACTGCCTACGCAAACATGTGCAAGCAGATGCAGGGACCAAAAGCTAACCCCTGTGTTCTGGTTACCTAGTGCCACTCTGACAAGACTATACCACAAATGGGATGGCTTGAACAAACAGGAGTTTATTCTCTTATAGTTCAGGAGGCTAGAAGTCCAAGTTCAAAGTGCCAGGCTCTAGGGGCTGGGTGAAAGCCCCTCAATCTTGGGGTCCAGCTCTGCCTCCTGCTTCCAGCCCACTGGAGCTAGAGGCGTTTCTACACTCAGACAGCTGCTGGCTGCTGAGGCTGAGAAGCCCAAGGTTGACAAGTAAAAAGGCACAATCCCCATGTTACCAAACCACATGGCAGGCCATTAATATAAGTCCATTGAAAGTCCCAAGGTGAGCAGAGCATGGAAGGCTACTAAACAAGGACATGGCTACCTGCAAGGTCCAAGCATCCCATATGCTAGAGACCATTCCCCAAGGTTTTTGCTTATATACAGGAAGCAGACCACATTCCCTAAGGCAGCTACTCAGCTGCTTGTGGTAGATCGCACCATGGAGTTGATTGCCAGTCTCATTGTGGGAAATAACTACCACCAGCTGCCCAGTCACTCAACCAGGCCCAGCCAAGTTGACACACAAACTGAACTACCACATTCCCACCCCTTGTCAACTTGGCATCTGTAAAGATCTTCATTAGGTGGCATCTGTACAGATCTCTCTCACTGGGTGCCTCCAGTCCCCTAGTTCCTGAGTGGCGACCTCACCCGCTTGGCCTGGCAGGCCCCGTTCCTTTCCCTCTTGGGCATGGCAGCCCTGCCCCCTCACTCTTGGGCAGCGAGTATGGTTCCATCCCACTGGCTCACATGAACGAGCAGCCCCATCCACACTCCAGAACCAAGTTGGTGAAGGCCTGGCTCTTTGAAACCTAGGAGGCTGTTGTTATTCCACCCCGAAAGGCCATGGTCCTACCCTTTCAGGCTGAAGTAGCTCTGCTTCTGTTTCCTTGGTCTCTCCACTTCTGCTGATTAATGCCGAAGGCAACCCACTCCACAGAAAATCTTCCAGCCCTAAAAACACTTGGCTTTCTTGCTCCTTGAGCCGGCTAACCTGCTACTCCATTTTATGCCGGTCTTTTCTACCAATTAATGCCCGAAGGCAACCCATTCCGCCAGGAGGCCGCCTACCCAAAGGCATCAAGCTTTCTCCTCCATGGGCTGGTAAGGCTGTCACTGTGTCACGCCAGTTCTCTTGGCTCTGCTACTGCCATCTCTAATGCCGGTCTCTTGCTCTGCTCCTGCTGTCTGTCATGCTGTATGCTGTGGTCTCTCTGCCAAGGTCTCAGGTCAAGGACACCGTCCACTCCTATTTCCACATTTTAGGCATCAGTCAGAGCAGCACCCCACTCTCTCGGTACCATATTGCCTCCCTTAGTAAAGAGGGCCCTGCTAATCCATGGTGTGAGGTGGCAACATTGATATGCAAAATAACATCACCAATAGGTCAAATACTTTTGGGAAGCAAGGCTCTGGGTGACCGCATATTTGATACTTTTCTGCAATTTTGTCAGCATGAGGAAATTGGTTGGTTGGTCCTACTTACACTAGACAAAGTGATCAAAGAGCAAGATGAGTTCAGGGCTGCTGAGTCACAGCTTAAGAGCAGCGTAAAAGACCTCAATGTTTCTAGTTGTGCTCTGAAAGAAAACCTTGTTTCTTCTAGTAACAGAGCTGATATTGCTGAAAACCAAACCCAGAGTCTTATTTTAAGAGTGGTTGAGTTACTATGCCAATAAATTGCCAGCCCACAATGGTGTCTGAAGTTAAAGTGAGGGCATTGATTGGGAAAAAATGGGATCCTGAAACCTGGAATGGGGACATATGGACAGGTAGTCAAGAAGATCAGGATATGAAGCCTGTAAATTTTGTTGAATCCCTCCCACCTGAAGGGATGGGAAACCCTCATAAAACCATCATCCCCTCCACCTCAGTTTGATGGGATTAACTCAACTGTTCCTGCTGAGTCATTGCTTGAGGCAGAGGCCATGGAAGACATTGCTGAATGTTCTCAGGAACTGCCCCCAACCACGCATTGTTGCTGCTAGATCTATAACTAAAGTTAAGACCAAGTGAGCCCCAAAAGGTGAAATACAAAGTGTGACTGAGGAGGTGGTACGCTACACCCTAAAAGACCTCCTTGATTTTGCTAACATGTACAGACAGAAACCTGGAGAATATGTATAGAATGGCTACTGAGGGTATGGGATAATGGTGCAAGGAATATAACATTGGATCAGTCTGAGTTTATTGATTTAGGCCCACTAAGTATGGATTCTTCATTCAGTGTTTCAGCCCGAGAGGTTAGGAAAGGACCTAATAGTTTATTTGCTTGGCTTACTGAAGCATGGATTATGCAGTGGCCTACCTTAAGTCAAGTTGAGGTACCAGACCTGCCTTGGTATAATGTAGAAGAAGATATCCAGAGGCTTAGGGAAATTAGACTGTTAGAATGGATTTATCAGATTAGATCCCTAGAGCCAGAAATAGATAGTCTAGAAGACACACCTTTTACTAGTACAATGAGGAATACATTTGTGAAAGGAGCCCCAGCATCCTTGAAAACTGCTGTGATTGCTATTTTATGTAAGCTGGATTTGACAGTGGGAACTGCCCTAATTGAACTAAGACACTTAACTACTATGAGGGCTGATTGGACCCCATGGTAGTAGGGCCAAGTGGCAGCAGTTAATCGACAAAGGCAAGGTAGATGTAGTTACCATAATGGACAGCAGAGTCAGAATAGCAATCAGAATAGTCTGACTCATGTGGAATTATGGCATTAGCTACTTAGTCGTGGTGTTCCTAGTAGTGAAATAGATGGCAAACCTAAATATTTACTTGATCTGTATAGACAGAAGAATTCTAAGTCACGTGAACAGTAACCTAGATTGAATCGCCAGAATACATAGTCATGGCCTCTCAATCAATTCCCAGATTTGAGTCAGTTTAGACCCACAACCCCTTGAATGAAAGGGAGGCCGGGCCCCTTTGAGGAAGGACCCCACTACATTGCCAAAAATTTATAATGTCAGTCTTTCTCCCAGCCTTCCCAAAAGGGATCTGAGGCCTTTTACGAGAGTGACTGTTCATTGGAGAAAAGGAAATAATCAGACTTTTCAGGGATTACTGGACACTGGCTCTGAACTGACACTAATTCCAGGAGAGCCAAAATCATTGTGGCCCACCAGTCAGAGTGGGGGCATATGGAGGTCAAGTTATTGATGGAATCTTAGCTAAGATGCATCTCACAGTGGATCCAGTGGGTCCCTGAACCCATCCTGTAGTGATTACCCCAGTTCAAGAATGCATGATTGTAATAGATATACTGAGAATTGGTGATTCCCACATTGGGTCCCTGACATGTAGAGTAAGGGCTATTATGGTAGGAAAAGCCAAGTGAAAGCCATTAGAACTGCCTCTACCTACAAAAATAGTAAACCAAAAGCAATACCACATCTCCCTGGAGGGGTTGCAGAGATTACTGCCACCATCAAGGACTTGAAGGATGTAGGGGTGGTGATTCCCACCACATCTCCATTTAATTCACCTATTTGGCCTGTGCACAAAACAGATGGATCTTGGAGAATGACTGTAGATTAGCATAAACTTAATCAGGTGGGGACTCCAATTGCAGTTGCTGTTCCTGATGTGGTTTCATTGCTTAAGCAAATTAGTACATCTCCTTGTACTTGCTGTGCAGCTATTGATCTGTCAGTGCCTATTTGTCAATACAAATTTCAAAGGACCATCAGAAGCAGTTTGCCTTCAGCTGGCAAAGCCAACAGTATACTTTCATAGTGCTTCCTCAGGGGTATATAAACTTCCCAGCACTGTCATAATTTAGTCCATAGGGATCTTGATCGCCTTTCCCTTCCACAAGACATTACACTAGTCCATTATATTGAGGACATTATGCTGATTGGACCTAGTAAGGAAGAAGTATCAATGACTCTAGACTTATTGGTGAGACATATGCATGCTAGAGATTGGGAAATTAATCAACAAAAAATCAGGCACCTTCCACCTCGTTGAAATTTCTAGGGATCAATGGTGTGGGGCGTGTTGAGATATTCCTACTAAAGTGAAGGATGAGTTATTGTATCTGGCTTCCCCCACAACTAAAAAGGAGGCACAATGTCTGGTGAGCCTCTTTGGATTTTGGAGGCAACATATCCCTCATTTGGGTGTGTTGCTGTGGCCTATTTATCAAGTGACTTGGAAACCTGCTAGTTTTGAGTGGGGCCCAAAACAACACAAGGCTCTGCAACAGGTTCAGTCTGACATACAGGCTGCTTTGCCACTTGGGGCATATGATCTGGCTGATCCAGTAGTGCTTGAAGTGTCTGTAGTAGATAGAGATGCTGTTTGGAGTCTTTGGCAGGTTGCTATTGGTGAATTGCAATGCAGACCCTTGGGATTTTGGAGCAAAGCCCTGCCATCCTCTGTAGATAACTACTCTCACTTTGAGAAACAGCTTTGGGCTTGTTACTGGGCTTTAGTAGAGACTGAACACCTAACCATGGGCCACCAAGTGACCATGAGGCCTGAGCTGCCCATCATGAACTGGGTGTTGTCTACCCATAGAGTCATAAAGTTGGACGTGCACAGCAGCACTCCTTCATTAAATGGAAGTGGTATATCAGAGACTGGGCTAGAACAGGACCTGAAGGCACAAGTAAGTTTTATGAGGAAGTGGCCCAAATACTTATGGTCTCCACTCCAGTTACATTACCTTCCCTCTCCCAGTCTGCACCTATGGCCTCCTCATGATCAGTTGACTCAGGAAGAGAAAACTCATGCCTGGTTTACAGATGGTTCTGCATGATATGCAGGCACCACTTGAAAGTGGACAGTAGCAGCACTGCAGCCTCTTTCTGGGATTTCCTTGAAGGACAGTAGTGAAGGAAAATCCTCCCAATGGGCAGAACTTTGAGTCATGCATCTCACTGTTCATTTTACATGGAATAAGAAATGGCCAGATGTTCAATTGTATATGGATTCATGTGCTGTCACTAATGGCTTGGCCAGATGGTCCAGGATTTAGAAGGAGCATGATTGGAAAATTGGTGACAGGGATGTATGGGGAAGAGGTATGTGGCTAGATCTCCCTGAATGGGCCAAAGGAGTAAAGATATTTGTGTCTCATGTGAATGCCCACAGAAAGGTGACCTCAGCAGAGGAGGACTTTAACAATCAGGTGGATAGGATGACATGTTCAGTGGAAACCAGACATCCTTTTTCCCCAGCCACTCCTGTCATTGCCAAATGGGCTTATGAACAAAGTGGCCATGGTGGCAGGGATGGAGGTTATGCATGGGCTCAGCAACATGGACTCCCACTTACCAAGGCTGATTTGGTTACCGCCACTGCTGAGTGCTCAATCTGCCAGCAGCAGAGACCAACACTGACTCCATGATGTGGAAACATTCCTTGAGGTGAACAGCCAGAAACCAGGTGGCAGGTTGGTTACACTGGACAACTTCTATCATGGAAAGGACAGCATTTTGTTCTTACTGGTATAGATACTTATTCTGGATATGGATTCACCTTCCCTGCATGCCATGCTTCTGCCAAAACTACCATCCGTGGACTTACAGAGTGTCTTATCCACTGTCATGGTATCCCACACAGCATTGCTTCAGATCATGGGACTCACTTCACAGCAAATGAAGTGCAGCAATGGGCCTATGCTCATGGAATTCACTGGTATTACCATGTTCCCCATCATCCTGAAGCAGCTGGCTTGATAGAATGATGGAATGGCCTACTAAAAACACAATTACGGCACCAGGTAGGTGGTAATACCTTGAAGGGTTGGAGCAGTGTTCTCCAGGAGGCTGTATATGCTCTAAAACAGCATCCAATATACGGTGCTGTTTCTCCAACAGCGAAGATTCATGGGTCCAGGTACCAAGGGGTGGAAACAGGAGTGGTCCCACTCACTATTACCCCTAGTTACCTACTCAAAAAATGTTTGCTTCCTGTCCTTGTTACCCTATGCTCTGCAGGTCTGGAGATCTTTGTTCCAAAGGGAGGAACACTCCCACCTGGAGATATAATACTGATTGCATTGAACTGAAAATTAAGAATGCCACCTGGCCATTTTGGCTTCCTCATGCCTCTGGATCAACAGACAAAGAAGGGTATTACTGTACAATCTGGTGTGATAGATCCTGATTACCAAGGGGAAATTGGACTGACATTACATAATGGAGGTAAAGAAGAATATGTCTGGAATATATGAGATTCTTTAGGATGTCTCTTAGTATGACCAGGCCCTGTGATCAAAGTCAATGGAAAATTACAGCAACCCAATTCTGATATGACTACTAGTGGCCCAGACCCTTCAGGATGAAGGTTTGGGTCACCCCACCAGGCAAAGAACCACAACCAGCTGAGGTGCTTGCTGAGGGCAAGGGAAATATGAAATGGGTGGTGGAAGAAGGTAGTTGTGAATATCAGCTATGACCATGTGACAAGTTGCAGAAACGAGGACTATGATTGTTATATTTCTTCATTGTATATGTGCATCAAATATTTTTGTTTCTTTCTGTTATAAACTCTGAAATGTAAATAAGGTTAATGCACTACAGTTGTACGCATGTTAGCATATCGTTAGGTGCAAATATGACTTTATAATTGTCCTTATTTAGAGGTTATATATGGTTAAGAAGATGTGTACAACTGCCAAGTTGACAAGGGGTGAACTGTGGTGGTTGGAGCTGTGTGTCAATTTGGCTGGACCACGATTCTGTGTAGTTTGAGCAATTGTGATGTGGGTTGTTCGCATGATGGGATCAAATGTATATATTTCGAGCAACCGATCCATTGAAGGAGAGTTTCCCTAGGGGTGTGGCCTGCTTCCAGTATATTTATGGACATCCTGGGAAAAGAGACTCTCTTCTTCTGTGGATCAGGATCCTGTTGTGCTGCCTACAACTGTCTGTGAGTGAACAATCCACCATTTGGCCTGGAGATCTTGGATTCATCATTTGCTGAAGTCAACAGCCAGTATACTGCCTGCCAACCTTGAGCTCGTTAGCCCCTGCAGCTGCGTGAGTAGGGAAAAGCCTCCAACTTGACATCTGATCCAAGAACTTTAGACTTGTCCATTTCTATAAGTGTATGAGCCATTTTCCTAAGATAAATTTCTCTTTCTCTCTATATATGTATGTAAGCTTTCTTGGTTTTGCTTTTCTAGAGAACCCAGCCTAACACACTCTGTGATTGGACATAAAATGTGCATGAACTGGGATGATAGGTCTCAGAGGCAAGCAGGGCTCTCCCATAGCATAGGATAAATATTCCTCTAAAGGCTTTGAGTTACAGCTCACTAGAACCTCTTCACATAGAAGAGAGCAAAAACTAGTCCAGAATCTAGAGTAAGAGCCTTTATAGCAACATAGCTTAGAATTCTGAGTTCAGATCTTGGGTCTGCCTCTACCAAACTCACTGCCATTGAGTCAGATCCAACTCATAGCGATCCCTCCTTGGGTTTCCAAGGTGGTATCACTATGGAAGTAGATTGCCCAATCTTCTTTCTGAGGAATGGCTAATGTGTTTGAACCGTCAGCCTTCTGGTTAGCAGTCAAATGCCTTAGGCGCTATGCTTCCTGGGTCTGCCTCTAGTAGGCAGTTTAATCTCACTGAACTTCAGCTTCCCTATCTATCTATGTGGTGGGCTATGGTATAGAGTTGATCTTAGCAAAACTTAGTATAGAATTTTGTCTTTAAGATCCTCTTCTTCAACATCAAGCTGCCCAGGTGCATTTGTTCCCATGTGTTCTTGGATGAAACAAATATTCTTATGACTCATTGGGTTTCCACCCCAGTGGCATTTGCATTTGATAATGGACTCAGAGGGACAAACCAGTAGTGGCAGTTTGGGAACTGAGACACCTGGGTAGGAGGAAGATGTTATCTGAGGACTAAGAAGCTTGTTTGGGAATTTCTAAATCCACCCTTCACAGCCATCATCTCCTCCGAGAGCTAGGTTGAGAAGGTCAGGGAGACTCTGGTGAGCCAGTTCCATGCAGCATAAGTCCACTTTCAGTACACAAACCCTCACTGATGGAGGTACCCAGGACAGTGGGTCACTTGAGAATGATAGAGCTCAAAAACATCAAAAGGAGGGGTGGTTCCAGAGGTAAAGTGAAATGTTAGGAAGAAATTTAATCTTTGCTCTGATCACACAGGTCTGGGTCAAAATCTACTTCCCCCAGATCTTGAACATTTTTTTTCATTAAGAATCATATTAGCCTGAGCTAACCCTGAAAACCTGGGTCCCAGCTCTGCTGCTTGTTGTTGACCAATCTTGAGTAGCTCATTTAACTTCTTTAAGCTTGTTTCTCCATCTTCAAATAAGAAAAAACAACAGTGCCTACCTGTCAATATTTCTATGCTCTCTACAACAAGACAATGAATGTGAAAGAGCTTTTTACACGGCAGAGCCCTGTAGAAAAACCAATGGCTTTTATCATCTTTGATCTTCCATCTCTAACAGGTGCCATCCAGATCCCAACAGTGTCTTTCAGCTCAGAGGAATCCAATACGACAGCCCTAGCTGAGTTTGGAGAATACATTTATAAAGGTAATATATGGTCTACCACAAACTAGGGACAAAGGAGAGTAGGGGTAGCACTGGAAACATGGTTCTTTTCCAAGGTGATAAGGAAGTTTATTCTGTGATTGGACCAGAGGACAACCTAATTCCCATGAGCCTCCTTTGCATTTTGTACATAATAGAAACATATAGAAGGGAGAACCTAGGAATTAGAATGGAAACAGAGTAGAGTTTAGAGGTTTCCCTTTGAAGAACTAAGGCACATAGCTATTGGGTCAGAGTTTGAACTCTCTGAATCTTCACCCTATATGTGTGCCAGTCAATAAATATATAATCACAAAGGTAGAAGAGACTCCTTCTACCTGTACAACATTTCAGAACTATGCCCTCATGCTTCTCCCATCCCTACCTCAGTGTGCACAAACTCCATCCACCCAGGCTCTACCCCAGATTCATCAGTAACACATTTCTAAGCTTCTAGGCAGTCATCAACTTTGAGTTATCCTGTCCATCCTCTCCACTAGCCTCCAGCACTCATGGAATACAGAGCTGAGGAAGGCTGAGTCATGGGTAAAGGGAATCCTTGGATAGTAATGTGGCCATCTTCCTAAATCAAATAGAAACCAGCCTCTCCAAAGTCACGAGGAGTGGGAGAAGATGGCCAAGAGGCAACAAGTAGCTGTCTCACTAACACTGTGGAAGAAGGCAGGTCTGGGGTTTTCCCAATAACCAAACTTAGGGCTGGAAGTTTTAACTAAGCAATTGTTGTTGTTGTTATGTGCCGTCAAGTCAGACCCGACTCATAGTGACTCCTTGGGTTTCCGAGGTAGTATCACTACCTACAGAAATAGATTGCCCCATCTTCCTTCCAAGGAGTGGCTGGTGGAACTAAGCAATAGGAGATGAAAATAGGAAATAGTTTTTCAGCAAAGCCTAGTAAGAGATAAAAGTTCTTTTTCCCATGTATCTAAGGCCACCTATGTTAGAACCTACTTGTTACCTAATAACTGACCCTGGGAATATCTACATCTGTGCACAAAAGTGTAGCCTTTTCCTAGATGAGATAATCTTTATCTCCATATAACACAAACAGTAGGAATAATGTTTTGTTAAAAAGAGTCCTGAAAAATATCTCTGATTTTTTTTTTTTTTCATATATGAGCCATGCTTGATTCCAAGCAATTTGGATACTATAGTCTACTATATTCAAACTTTAGCATACCCCTAGTGTGCAGAGCTCTGTATCCTATTCTTATGATAATATATTATAGGTCAGACCAAGCCAGCTCTTGAGATATTGATTCTTAATGGTAGAGTCTTGATATGCATATTATTACATAGTAAAAGTACATTAAAATATGGGGAAGAAGAATTTGAGCAGTGGTCTGGAAAATCAGGAATTAGAGCTTCCTAAAGAATGGCTGGGGCTCTGGTGGCAAAGTGGTTAAAGCTTTCAGCTGCTAACCCAAAAGTCGGTGGTTTGAACTCACCAGCCACTCTCCAGGAGAAAGATGAGGCAGTCTGCTTCTGCAAATATTTACAGCCTTGGAAACCCTAGGTGCAGTTCTACTCTGTTCTATAGGGTTGCTATGAGTTGGAATTGGCTCGATGGCAGTGGATTTAGTGTTTGGGCTTAAAGAAAGGCTGTGTGTACAAAAAAAAATATAGGGAGACCAGGGAGCACCAAATAATAGCTAAATCAAAATAAACTTAATCCTGGCTTTCTCCCCCCCCCCCCACCTTTCATTCCTCTGCCTCTAGTCTTTCCTACAGTGTTCAGCACCAGCTTTATCCAGCATGAAGTCGTGGGAGGATACAGCCACCTGTTCACTGTCCAAGGCTCAGACCCCAGGCTGCAGCCCTACATGCTGTTGGCTCACTTTGATGTGGTTCCTGCCCCTACAGAAGGCTGGGAGGTGCCCCCATTCTCTGGGCTGGAACGTGATGGCTTCATCCATGGTCGGGGCACACTGGACAACAAGAACTCTGTGATGGTCTGAAACCATACATTTCCTCTGCCTTGAGGCCCTAAAGATCAACCCGGGGCAGCAGGGGTGGTGCCTAGGCTGACCCCTGGGAGAAAGAATCTTGGCTCCAGGAGATCTGGGTTCCAGCCATCAGTGTGTCGCTTCCCTTTCCTGGGCCTCAATTTCTCAGTGGTGCTGTAGATATTACAGTATGTGATCTCCAGGGACCCTTTCAGTTTTGACATTGAGACATACTTTCTTCAGGTGGTAAAAGTTTTATGGAAAGCTCTGCTTCCCCTCATTCAGTCCCCTAGGGTCATTTGAATTTGTGCTCTTTAAAGGAAGTATCTCCTATCCTAGTCCCACCAGCGCTGTTGTGGACAGCTGAATGTCTGAGTCCTTGGTTCTCCTACTTAGAAAATAAGGTTTCCTCCTTTTCCATTGTGTTTTTGTCCACCAGGCAATCCTGCAGGCCTTGGAGCTACTACTGATCAGGAAACACATCCCCCAAAGATCTTTCTTCATTGCTCTAGGCCATGATGAGGAGGTAGGGTCTATACCAATCTCTGGGCCTTCATGGGATAGAGGTACTTCACCCTAGCCCAATTTGTACCCCAGCTTTAGGGTCTCCATGTGGTGTGGTGATTTGTAAACTTCTCTGTGTGCCAGCACTATCTGAAGACCTTGACCAAAATGCAGATTTCAGGCCCTGTGCAGTAGATCTGAATTTTTAATGTAACTCCCCAGTGAATTCTGAGACAGGTGGTCCATCAATTACACCTTGAGAAACACTGGAGTGATGGAAAGGGAACTGCATCAGGACATAAATCTATTGTATTTCTGGTGATGCCACTTACTTTAATGCCAGGCACGTCACTTCTCCCTCTGAGTCTGTTTCTTCGCTTACGAAATGAGGGGTTTGGGCCCTTCTAGCTCTGACATTCCAAGATTCTGTGAGGCAGGATTGTCTAGGACCCTGCCCCACAGGTAGGGACTTGAGGTCAAGCTGGGTCTTGGTTCAATGTCTGCAGGTGTCAGGGGTGAATGGGGCTCAGAAAATCTCAGCCCTGCTACAGACGAGAGGTGTCCAGCTGGCCTTCATTGTGGATGAGGGTGGCTTCATCTTGGATGGTTTCATTCCCAACATCAAGCCCTTTGCACAGTAAGTGACACCTTGCCTCGACAGGGATTCTCATGCCTTGTAAGAAATGACCCAAGCCTAGAATCTAAGTAATGCTGAGACAACCACTCCTGCCTTCTTTACCCCAATCTTTGGCCAGTTCTGGGCTTTCTCTTCCTTTTCTCCTCTAGTGTAAATTTTTTCAGCAACATGAAGCTGACCTCCCAGCCCACCAGACTACCACACATATGGGCCTGTGGGCCTATGGGATAAACCTGGCTGGAAGGAAGTCAGGAGGGCTGGCTGTCTCTGATCCTACAGGATTGCAGTCTCAGAGAAAGGTAGCATTAATCTCATGCTGCAAGTAAACATGACTCCAGGCCACTCTTCAGCTCCTCCAAAGGAGACAAGCATTGGCATCCTCGCAGCCGCTGTCAGCCGGTAAGCAACTCCTGGCACTTTCCTTCCTTAACTTTGGGGACTCAAATTTCCTGCCCTGCAGCTAGGCTAGTAAACCATAGTGGAGATGTCAGGCAGGACAGGGACACCAATGCCCAGACAAGAGCTAGAGGTCAGAAGAGGATCTCTCAGTACATTCTTATGGTAGCTGGAGTCATCCAGAGTACAAACCAGCAGTTAGAATTGACAATGGTAGTGAGTAATGTTGTTTCTGTTGTTATGTGCCATTGAGTCGGACCCGACTCATAGCGCCCCCTCCTTGGGTTTCCAAGGCAGTATCACTACGGAAGTAGATTGCCCCATCTTCCTTCCAAGGAGTGGCTGGTGGGTTTGAACCGCCAGCCTTCTGGTTAGCAGTCAAGTGCCTTAGGTACTACACTACTAGAGCTCCCTAGTGAGTAATGTTGTTGTTGTTTGCCGTCGAGTCAGCCCCGACTCATAGCAACCCCTCCTTGGGTTTCCAAGGCAGTATCACTACGGAAGTAGGATTGCCCAACCTAGTGAGTAATGTTGTTGTTGTTGTTGTGTGCCGTCGAGTCGGTCATAGCGACCCCTCCTTGGGTTTCCGAGGCAGTATCACTACGGAAGTAGGATTGCCCAACCTTCCTTCCGAGGAGTGGCTGGTGGGTAATAGAACTGTCTAAATCCTCCACCTGCCCTGACAGGAAGACAAAGGTAAATAAGGGCTGCTGGGTGTGAGTAAGGACTGCAGGGTCAGTAATAGCAGAGCTTACCTCTGGCTCTGTTTTTTTCTTCTGACAAAATGGAAAGGAGAGCTACTTTCATTACCATGGTCAAGTCTTCATGCCAGGTAATAGGCATATAGAGGGGAGCAAAACAGATACAGTGTCTGTTCTCAAGAAACTCAGTGTTACCAGGGAAAACTGACAGGAGTTGATGAACAGGAAGCCAGAGGAGAAAGAGATGGGGGCATCCTGACTCACACTTGGAGGACAGAGAAAACTCCTGCTGGTAGACTGAGGTGGTCCTGCTGGTGCTTTGTGAGCTTCCAAATAGGATTAGAATAGGAGACGTCCCAGCCAGTCTTGTTAAAACTTCCCCCATCTCCTTCCTACTCTTCTTCCGGCTGCTGATCTTTGGCTAGGGTTGGGTGAGTCTTGAGAACATCATTTCTCTTCTAGACTGGAGCAGACACCATTGCCTAACATGTTTGGAGAAGGGCCACTGAAGACATCATTGGAGCTTCTGGCAAATGAGGTGTGGGATGGAGTACCACATATTCCTGCTCAGCCATGGAAGAGAAGAAAAGAGTGGCAGAGAACTAAACTTCAGAGTGATAGAAGGGCCCTGCTGCAGATTAGTGCTCTGCCCATTTCCACCCATTCCTAGCTGGTGGCTGAGTCAAAAGGAAAGATCCAGCTTGTTGGCTGGGCCTTGAGGTTGATGCTTATATGAAAGCTTAAGGTCTAACTCACCCAGGCACTCTTTGGGAGCTGTTTGCCATTCATCCTTGAAGCTGCTGGACAGTTGTTCTAACCATCCAGATGAGCCCAGCCAGGTGGTAATTGGCTCGTCATCCTCTACCCTCTAGTAGAGACTGCTAGCTGAACCCAGCTACACTCCTGACTGCTGAGGGCCCCCAAGGCAGATAATATAGAAAGAGGCCCAGACCATAGGTAGAGTGACCCTGTCATGATGACCCCGCTTTAATTCTGCTGACCTGATTCTCTCCCTTTTCAGTTTTCCTTCCCTGCAAATATTATCTTGAGCAACCTGTGGCTATTTCGGCCTCTTGTAAAAAGGTAAATTATTATCTTTCTTTCCCACACATTGCCCATTCCAAACCTTCCTACTTCCCAGCCCCCTCTACTTGGTTTAACTGGGCCTGACTAATTGTCTCTCAACCACTAGACACTACGTCTAATTCATATTCAGGACATCCCTCCTAGTTTTAAAGATGTCCAAGGTTTAGGAAAGTAAATGGTCCTCCAACTCTCTTCTTTCTCCCCAATGAACAGTTCTTTTTTTTTTTTTTAATTTTTATTGTGATTTGGGTGAAAGTTTACACACCAAATTCATTTTCCATACAGCAGTTCATACCCATTTTGTTTCATGACTGACTGCAATTGACTGCAATTGCCCACAGTGTAACAGCTCTTTTCCTATGTCCCTCCCTCCCATGCACTCCTGCCCTCCAAGCTGTCTCCCTGTACAAACACTGCCCTTCTCTTCTACGATTGATCACTCCAAGAAGTGTATCTATCTGATATAAATGTTCACCCCATATGTCCATCTATCTTTTGGCTAGAAGCCACAGGAGTAAGTTCCACTCCAGACCTGAAAGGTAACTAGGGACCATAGTCTCAGGGGTCTCACCAGGCTCTATCAGACCAGCAAATCTGGTCTTTTTTTTTTTTTTTTTTATGATTTTGAGTTTGTTCCACATTGTTCTCACACGCTACTCTATCCAGGATCTCCTAAACTGATCCCCCTCCAAGTGTTTGACAGTTGTAGCCAGGCACCATTTAGTTCTTCTGGTCTCATGGTCATTTAGGCTGAGGATCGCATAGTATACCAGTCCCATGGACTAGCTGTTTCCATGCATCTTTGGTTTTCTTCATTCTTTTTTGCTCTGGATAAGAAGAGACTCATTGCATCTAGATGGCCACTTGCAAGCTTTTAATACCCCAGTCACCCAGTCATCAAAGTAGGATGTAGAACAATGTTTTTGTATAGTATGTTATGCCAATTGAGCTTGATATCCCCTGTGACCATGGTCCCGAGCCCGTAGGTCCAACTATTCACTCCCTCCAGGTAGCTGGCTGTGGCCAAGAAGCCACCACAACCTTGCCCCTTGTCACCTCTATTATATACCCAGACATTCTTATAGCTCATACAAATACACATGTAGAAACATTATCTGATAACCTTATACATGGTCATGGAGACACTCACCCCTGCCTAGACATACCTGATCATTCAGCCTGTCCACCCATCTACCCACTCGTAGATCAATGCTTGCCATCACTGACAATGCAGTACTGTACATGCAAAAAGGTTCATCTTTGTTGTCTGTACCTCTCTATCTCTTCCTCTTCCTCAGTGCCACTGTGTTGATCACTCACGTTTGGTACATTGCCCTTCCCTTCACCCAAATCAATACTTGTCTTTACCAATCTAGCAGTGTTCCCTCCCCTCCCCACCCATCCCTGGTAACCAACAAAGAAAATTCCCTTCCATATATAAACCTTTCCTTGATGTTTTACAATAGTAAACTAATACAATATTTGTCCTGTGATTGACTTATTTCACTCAGCATAATGTCCAAGTTCATCCACATTATGCAGTGTTTTGCAGATTCTACATTATTCTTCAGTGTTGCATAGTATTCCATTGTGTGAATGTACCATAGCTTAGTTTTCTATTCTTCTGTTGATGGGCACTTAGGTTGTTTCCATCTCTTTGCTATTGTGAATAGTGCTGCGATCCCATTGGATAGTTCTTTCTAATGTCTTACCTTAATCTGTTTGCTTTAGGTTAATGGAGAGGAATTACATAACCAATGCACTGGTTAGGACCACCACAGCCCTCACCATGTTCAATGCAGGGGTCAAGGTAACACTGCCTGGTTCATCTCATACACTTTTTTGTCACTCCTTATCATCCACCCCTCTACCCCAGGGCTTTATCTTCTGCCTTCTCCTTCCTTCTTTGGTTACAAATTTTAATAATGGGAAGGATCAAATATGCATGCTGAATTTTTTCTATGTTATCAGTTGGCTAAGCCTCAAGAACAAAGCTTCTAGCCTACATTTTCAAGCTTTCTGACATTGCTGGCCAAATTTTGTAAGTAATTATTTCTGTAGGAGGTGTCCACAGCCCCCCTTGGGTTCTTTGGGTCTGTAGCCCCCACAAAAAATCACACTAGTGTGAATAGGGGTTAACCAAAAAACCAAACTCACTGCTGTTGAGGTGATTCAACTCATAGTGACCCCTCCTTGGGTTTCCGAGGCAGTATCTCTACGGAAGTAAATTGCCCAATCTTCTTTCCAAGGAGTGGCTGGTGGTTCAGCCTTCTGGTTAGCAGTCAAATGCCTTAGGCACTACGCCACCAGAGCTCCCTGAAGAGGGGTTATTTGGGGTTAATTCTTATGCCTCTGCTTAGGCTGTAATTGGACATGTCTTATAGTTACCTGACATTTTGGTCACGTAGATGAATCTTTCTACCACCAATGATATTTTATTATTATTATTATTACTATTCCCTGTGTTTTGAAAGATTTATCCAATTAACAATTTTAGTGAGTGATTACTATATTTTCCCCTAAATAACTGGTGTTATACTCAGTTGAAAGAGAAAAATTAACCTATTTAAAATCTATAACATTTGTGATATATAAAACCCACTGCTATCAGGTCATAGCTACCCTGTAGGACGGGGAAGAACTGCTCCCTAGGGTTTCCAAGGCTGTAAATCTTTATGGAAGCAGACTGCCTCGTCTTTCTCCCAAAGAGTGGCTGGTGGGTTTGAATTGCCAATCTTTCAGTTAGCCGTCAAGCACTTAACCATTGTGCCACCAGGGCTCTGTTGTAGTCTGTGCAACACTTAAAATATATACATTGTCATTTCCCAGAATATATTAAATGTCGGTGGCCTTAGCAAACATAAATTGCTGTAACTCTATATGAGGTTTACTTTTATAGAAAGAAGTTTTGAGTGGATTAATGCTTTGATAAATTTTTATTCCAAGAATCACTTTTCAGCAAATTGGTCCAGTGCCAGTTGAATTATCTACTAAAGCAGTAGCTCTGTTAAAAGGACCAAATCACTAGTGCACTAGTTTGTCTGTGTATAAACTTTTCTGACATCTTAAAGGGAGTTAGGTCATTCCTATTACTATCAGTACCACCAGCACAACTTCAGAGAGTGATATTCACATAGAATACAGTTTGATCTAGTGGTGCTCTGGTTGTCTGGAGCCCAGATTGGGTATAAGTGAATGGTGCCTCTGAATTAATTCCTGGCCTAAATGTGCCAGGACTAAAGTGTTCAATGTATTAGCTGGACCTGAGCTGTCTTTACTAGCTGCCTATAAACCGAAAACCCAAACCCAGTGCTATTGAGTCAATACCAACCCATACCAACCCTCACTGGGTTTCCAAGGCTTTAAATTTTTACAGAAGTAGATTGCCTCATCTTCCTCCTAAGGAACAGGTGGTGGGTTTGAGCCACCAACCTTCTGGTTAGCAGCCAAACACTTTACCTACTGTATCACCAAAGCTCCTTAGCTGCCTATAATCATCACAAAAATAATTGTACTGTGTCCTTGAATTGAATAGTGCTTCAGAAGGAAGACTGGGCAATCTACTTCTACAGAAATACTGCTTCGGAAACCCAAGGAGGGGTCGCTATGAGTTGGAACTGACTCAACAGCAGTGAGTTTGGTTTAGTTTTGGTTTTGGTTTTCTGTCTTCCCAGAATACTTTTCATGTTTATTGCTTTACTTGATCCAAATAACAGCTCTATGGAGTCCCTGGGTGGTGCAAATGGCTAACATGCTCAGCCACTAACCAAAAGGTTGGTGGATCAAATCCACCCAGAGGCACCTTGGAAGAAAACCCTAGTGATCTGCTTCCAAAAGATCATAGCCATTGAAAACTCTATGAAGCACAGTTCTACTCTGACACATATGAGTTGCCATGAGTTGAAATTGACTACATAGCAATGGGGAAAAAAACAACCCTATGAGTATCATTGTCCCCATTTGACATTTGAGAAAACATAGACTCAAAGAAAGTAATGATTCAAAATCACAGTTAATTTATAAAACAGCCCAGTTCACTTGTCTCTAGTCCAGTGTTCTTTTGCACCATACCATTTCGAAGAAAGATACACAGTGGAGAGTCTGATCTCTCATGGTCTCTGAGGAAAAAGATCTACATAGCCCAAGTCACTTCTCCAATCATCAACCTGAATCCTTCCTGGTCAGACAAAGAAAAGAGTCAAATTTTACACTTGGGTGTAGGAAACCATCACTAGTACCATCTTCATCCCCCTCTGGGATCAAATACCATGATAGGGACCTTCAGAGGCTCAGGGTGCCCTGTCCTGAGTAAACACTGATGCCAAAGGCTGCAGAAATGTCCTGGTGCCTTGGGAAAGGAAGTACAAAAAAAAGAATAACAATGGCACATCCCAGGATCTAAACAGAGATGTCTGGCCAGTCACAGAGAAAGCAGTCTTGCTCTGAGCAGTTCTCTGTGAGCCCCTCCAGGACCAAGAATTGTGGTAGTCTAGCCTAAAACTAACACACCCTTCTAGCTCTGAACATAACAACATGTTAATGGCCCAGAAAAGGCAGGAGGCAGACTAAAGAAAATTAGACCTTGGACCTTTCTATCAAAGCAGCTTCCTCTGTCTCTGCTGGGGTGGTTGGCTTTTCCTGGATAGAGATCTGATATGGGGGACTTGAGATTGTCTCTCTCTCTCTAGGTGAATGTCATCCCTCCAATGGCCAAGGCCATAGTCAACTTCCGGATTCATCCTGCACAGACAGTCCAGGAGGTACGTACCATGTTAGAGACAACTGTTCAACATCATGGAGGTGTGGCCCTTGGGACCAGGACTTACCTTCAATCCCAGAGCTGGCTCAGTTTCTCATTTGTTCAGTCAACATTTTTCAGAGGCTTCCTATGTACCAGGTATTTAGCTAGGATAGGAGAACTCTGGCTTGGGTGAACTTGGGGGCCTCAGGGTGGCAGATGAATACCAGTAAATGATAGCAATAATAGCAAACACTTACATAATGTGCTTGCTATGTATTTGGCACTGTTCTAGTATACTTTTTTAGTTTTCACAACCACCATATGAGGTAGGAACTATATTATCTTCATTTAACAGGTAAGGAAACAGAGCAGTTAAATAGCATGGCCAACATTACACAGCTAGCAGTCTGGTTCCAGAGTCTGTGGTTTTAGCCACAGCACCATCTGCAATTTTAACAATTAGGGATGAATAAATTACCATAGGACTACTGCAAAGAAGGGGCTGATAGTACCTCTGAGGATTAAGAAAGTTTTTTTTTTCTGAGCACTAGAAATTTGAGCTGGGACTTAAAGGACAGATAAGAGTTTGCTATAAGTAAGACATGCATTGTGGCTGAAAAGTAGAATAAACTGGGGAGAAGTGATGGAAGATGAAAATGGACTTGTAGGTTGGGGAACAAGGCCGCATGCCTTGTTGGGCTTTAATCTGTGGACAGAGAGACTTGTCAAGGGTCTTCAAGTGAGAGAGTGGTATATTTCAGTTTGCTCTAGGGGGATAATGCTAATGACAATACACAGGAAGTGCTGGAGTAGGAAGAGACAGTTAGGAAGCTGTTGGAACTTTGCAGGCAGTGGGTATGAAGGTCAGAACTGAGATCATGGCAGTGGGGTAAAAAAGATGACATTAACCAGTGATGAGAGAAATGGGTTCTACAGGATATGGTGGATAAATGGATGTGGGGTGAGAAATAGGGAGAATTGCTTCAAGATTTTTATGATGGGTAGTTGGCCAGGTACATATGCTGTTAATCAAGACTGGAATTCAGGAATTCAAGTAAGTTTGAAGAGAGACAGAATGGTTTAAAAATTTGGGAAGTCTATAATATATTATTGTTGTGTGTTATTCAGTCAATTTTTGACTCAGAGAGATTCCATGTGACAGAGTAGAACTGCCTCCAAAGGGTTTGCTAGGCTGTAATCTTTGTGGGAGAGGAGCTCTGGTGGCAAAGTGGGTGAGGCATTTGGCTACTAACCAGAAAGTCAGTGGTTCAAACCCACCAACTTCTCTGCAAGAGGAAGATGAGGCAATCTACTTCCATTAAGACTGATAGCCTCATGCTTGCTTCAGCAGCATATATACTGAAATTGGAACATACAGAGATTAGCATGGCCCCTGTGCAAGGATAACATGCAAATTTGTGAAGTGTTCCATAGTTTTCAGACAATAAGCACTTTATACTAATGGGTTGCAAATTTTGCAGCCCTTAATTTGAGATGTTAAGACCAGACTTCCTAACTTTTTCTTTAACTAGTTGAACTATAGACTAGACTGACATAGGTGAGGCTAAAATCCTTTGAATATCACACTGTGATCTGGAAAAAAGAAAAGAAAAAAATGTACATACTGAATGGTAAAATGTTTTACTACAAGCAAGCCACAATAAAGTATCTGTCTACAAAAAAAAAAAAAAAGATTTATAGCCTTGGTATCATTGAGGAAGAGAAAGACATAAAGAGGTGCCTGGGAAGTACAGACAACAAAGATGACCCCTTTTGCACATACAGTACTGCGTTGTCAGTGATGGCAAACATTGATATATGGATGGATAGATGGGTGGACAAGCTGAATGATTAGGTAGCCTGTGGACAGGGGGAATGTGCCCATGACCGTGAATAAGGTTGGCAGAAAATGTTTCTACAAGTGTATCTGTATGTTCTGAAGAATTCCCAGGTATATAGTAAAGCTGACAAAGGACAAGGTTGTAGTCACTTCTTGGCCACAGCCAGCTACAAATAGAAGGAGCAAATAGTTGGACCTGCAGGCTCGGGACCATGGTCACAGGGGATATCGAGCTCATTTGACATAACATACTACATAAAAACATTGCTCCACATTCTACTTTGGCAAGTAGTGACTGAGATCTTAAAAGCTTGCAAGTGGCCATCTAGATGCAGTGATTGGTCTCTCCTTATCCAGAGCAAAGAAGAATGAAGAAAACCAAAGACACATGGAAACAATTATTCCAAGGGACTGGTGTACCATGTGGTCCTCAGTCTATATGACTATGAGACCATTTGGCAAAGAATAATGAAAGTACCATGGACTACTTGTGGTGCCCGGCTACCACTGTCAACCACTTGGAGGGTGATCTATGTAGGAGATCCTGGATAGACTGGGAGAATAATGTGGAACAAAACTCAAGATCATTAAAAAAAAAAAAAAAAAAAACAGGTTTGCTGGTCTGATAGAGCCTGGTGGAATCCCTGAGACTATGGCCCCTAGCTGACTGTCAGGTCTGGAATTCAACCCACTCTTGTGGCTTTCAGCCAAACAAAAGACAGGCATATGAGCTGAACATTTACATTAGGTAGATACACTTCTTGGAGAGATCAGTCATGGGAGAATAGAAGGGCTGTGTATGCACAAGGAGACAGCTCAGGGGGCAGAAGTTGATGAGAGGGAAGGACACAGGAAAGAGGTAACTAAGGGGAGGAAGTGGGAGGGGAACTGTTACATTGTGGGAAATTGCAGCCAATGTCATGAGACAAAATGTATGTGAACTGCTGTATGGAAAATGAATTTGGTGTGTAAACTTTCACCCAAATCCCAATAAAAATTTAGAAAAAAAAAAAGATTGATAGCCTTGGAAACCCAATAGGGTTTGCTATGAGTCAGAATCAACTTGATGGCAGTGGGTTTGGTTTTTTCGGTTTCCTGGAATCTTTATGGGAGCAAGTCTTTCTCCTGCAGATCCATTGAGTGGGTTCAAACTGCCAGCCTTTTGGACAGCAGCTGAGTGCTTACCTATTACACCACCAGGGTCCCTAATATATTAATGTTGTTGTTATGTGCTGTCAAGTTGGCCCTGACTCATAGCAACCCCTCCTTGGCTTTCCAAGGCAGCATCACTATGGAAGTAGATTGCCCAACCTTCCTTCCAACGAGTGGCTGGTGGGTTTGAACCACCAGCCTCCAGGTTAGCAGTCAAGTGCCTTAGGCACTATGCTACTAGAGCTCCCAATGATCTAATATCAACATCAATTTTTAAATTACAAAGCATGAATGTATAATTGCAAACTGCCAAATGTTATGGGAATGGAAAATTTCAAAGAGCAGCTCAAGAAGACAGAGTCAATTATTATAATGAAATGTGCAAGGACATGGAGTTAGAAAACCAAAAGGGAAGAACACACTCAGCATTTCTCAAGCTGAAAGAACTGAAGAAAAAGTTAAAGCCTTGAGTTGTAATATTGAAAGAATCTATGGGCAATATATTGAATGATGCAGGGAACATCAAAAGAAGATGGAAGGAATAAACAGAGTCATTGTACCAAAAAGAATTGGTTGATGTTCGTCTATTTCAGGAGGTGGCATATTATCAAGAACCTATGGTGTTGAAGGAAGAGGCCAAAGCTGTGATGAGGGAATTGGCAAAAACACAAGTCTCCAGGAATTGACGGGATACCCATTGAGATGTTTCAACAAACAGATGCCACACTGGAGGCACTTACTCATCTATGCCAAAAAATTCGGAAGACAGCTACCTGGCCAACTGACTGGAAGAGATCCATATTTGTACCCATTCCAAAGAAAGGTGATCTAATAGAATGTGGAAATTATTGAATAATATCATTAATATCACACACAAGTTAAATCTTGCTGAAGATAGGTCAAAAATGGTTGCAGCAGTAAATTGACAGGGAAATTCCGGAAATGCAAGCTAGATTCAGAAGAGGATATGGAACAAGGGATATCATTGCTGATGTCAGATGGATCTTGGCTGAAAGCAAAAAATACAAGAAAGATGTTTATTTGTGTTTTATTGACTATACAAAAGCAATTATTCCCTTGGAATAATTGTTTTATTGACTATACAAAAGCATCAAACGTAGTGAATAACATTGAGAAGAATGGGAATTCTAGAATATTGTGCTCATGAGGAACCTGTACATAGACCAGGAGGCTGTTGTTTGAACAGACCAAGGAGATACTGCATGGTTTAAAATCAAGAAGTGTTGTATCCTTTCACCATACTTATTCAATCTATATGCTGAGCAAATAATCCAAGGAGCTGGACTATATAAAGAAGAATGCAGCATCGGGATTGGAGGAAGACTCATTAACAACTTGTGATATGCAGATGACACAGCATTGCCTGCTGAAAGTGAAAATGACTTGAAGCACTTACTGATGGTGGTTAAAGACTACAGTTGGCAGTATGGATTACACCTCAACATAAAGAAAACGAAAATCTTCGCAAGTAGACAATAAGCAGCATCACAATAAATGGAGAAAAGATTTAAGTTGTCAAAGATTTCATATTACTTGGATCCACAATCAACACCAATGGAAGCAGCGGTCAAGAATTCAAACATCACATTGCACTGGGCAAATCTGCTGCAAAAGACCTCTTTAAAAAGTGCTAAAGAGCAAAGATGTCTCTTTGAAGACTGTTGTTGTGTTGTTATGTGCCATCGAGTCGGACCCGACTCATAGAGACCCTTCCTTGGGTTTCCGAGGCAGTATCACTACAGAAGTAGATTGCCCATCTTCCTTCCAAGGAGTGGCTGATGGATTTGAACCTCCAGCCTTCTGGATAGCAGTCAAGTGCCTTAGGCACTACACCAAGACTAAGGTGTGCCTAACCCAAGCCATGGTGTTTTCAATTGCCTCATGTGCATGTGAAAGCTGGACAAAGAATAAGAAAGACCTAAGAAGAGTTGATGCTTTTGAGTTGTGGTGTTGGCAAAGAATAATGAAAATACCATGGACTGCTAAAACTAACAAATCTGTCCTGG